GCTTGTCCATCTTTGCTTTTCAAAATTTGCTTTTGCCTAGTCTGGTCCTTGGAAGAACATTCTCCCACTACCAACCAGTATTATGTTATTGAAGAGATCCTCATAATAAATTGGTGAGGCACCTAACACCTCCACATGTACCCATCATTCAGTATATAACTACATCTCTGACAGCATTTGTACCTGTATTTAACTATATACAGTTCATTGAAGAGGCAAAACTGCAGGCACTGAAGTGTGTAGTACCATTCAGATACCCATGTAAGTAAAGGGTCCATAAAATCTACATACGTATAAAGAGAACACAGTCACTTTTGAAAGTATTTGGGAGAGTATATGCTAGAAAAAAAATGATGCTGCTTCAATGCATCAATACCACCTAAAGTATGTCAGTAAGGAATGCTAGCTGGATTCATTGAGATTTATTGTGATCCACCCTTGCCATTTAACTGTTACCAGATTACTGATAAGCTTGGTTTCCAATTGGAAGTATAAATACATCTTCTACTTAGTGTGGCTATATTGTAGGCAACTTTAAAGGTTAATTAAAAGTTATTAGCATGAATCTCAGCCATCTGAAATCTGTTATGCAAAGGTACCATGTAAGTTTGAAAGCATTATTGTGTGTACCAGTTTTCTACATATTCTTGTAGGTTATCTGAAGAAAGATTGCCAAGATACTGGCGCCAGTAGTCATTCTATCTCTGTAGTCTGACAATAAATGAACACTTTTATCAGCAAGCCCTGAATTTTAAGGAGTGATACAGTAGGAACTGATGTTCACACTGCTGGAGGATGGGGTTGGGATTTTACATTCTGGGGCTACATTTTGCTTCCACTGGAACCAATGCAGTTTTAGATAAGACTTAATGGGGACAGGAGACTTTATTTGGACTTTTCACTGTTACTTTTTGATAAAGTAGTTGGTGTCACTTCTTTAGCTCAACTTCCAAAAAGCCACAGCCAAAGGAAAAGCTAGAAAAAGACAAAAGCAATATAAAAACAAAATACTGAGAACTGAGATAATGTCATGTGTTTACTTTCTAGAAGGAAGGTGGCTCAAGAATTAGATACTATGTTAATCATATTTATTTCATCTATCTTAATAATATTTATTTCATATATCTTGCTCAGGCAACTTCCAATTAATTTGATATTTTGCTTCCATAAGGAGTATAGGAGTTAAAGGTAACTCCTTGTGCTGGTATCAATTTGGAATGCAGAACAGGACTTAGAACCACATACAAGGGAGATTCTTTTCCAATAACTAGCAAAAATACTTAAGTTTCCACTGTTGTGCATCACTTACATTTGAAAAAGATCATAAAACCCAGAAAACAAAAAAAGCCAAACCCCAACAAACTTGAGGTAAAGAAATGGAAAATAAATGAGCTACCCAGACACCTAAAATTAGGCAGGTTGGATGTCCTTTCAGAGACCAGCAGGATACCTACCCCTCTGCAAGTATTCCAGGGGAAAATGTTGACTTAAAAATAAGAGCTTAAAAGGCAGGTGCAGATTTAGTGGCTAGATCAGGCAGTTTGGATCCCACTGTGGTGTTTACTCGGGGGGTTTCCACTTGTAGTGGTGGAAGTGCTCTGAGTATGTCTAACACAGAGATTGATTAGCAAGGGCAGCTGGGCACTTACATTTAGGTTGGAATTCTGCAGGCTGTTTTACACAGTGACTGGGTATTTGAAAACTCAGTCTGTGTCAGTACTGAATGGGAAATTTTTTCAAGATCAAGTCAGACTTAAAACAGGAAATCTGCTTGGCCAACTCTGTATTATTCAATAGCCCTAAATAAACACCAGAAGGGCTGAAGAAAATAATTAAATTGCAGTGAGTTTCTTTTAATGGAGACAGAATAATACTTTAAAATACAATAGGAAAGTCTCCTTGTAAAAAATAAATAAGTAAAAATTCAACTTTTTTGCATTATTCTGAATCCTGACAATTACTTCTTTATATGACTAAAAAAATTATAAAAGTCCTACATACATAGCTATGTCTAATTTTTAATGTTGGATAGCAATATTTTTGGGGTTAGAAAAACCTTCAAATTACTTATCGATTACTTGATAAGAAAGTATCCTATTTTTTACTGCTATACAAGTAGAAATTGGATGAATCTTAATGGAGTATTAGAAATGCTGGAAATGTTAAATGTTGTATGTAACAAAAACATTTTCTTCTAGTAAATTAGTTCAGTGGTAATAATTTCTGAGAAAAAAACCACATCAATATCTATACAGAAAGACAGACTGGAAAACTTATTTGCACATTTCAGAAGCCCACAATTTAAATATGATAAAGATAGACATACTAGGAGAAAGAAGATGGAGATTCTTGTGCAGCAGAATACATTAAGTTTACAAGTGAATTCTACTTTCTTAGTCTCAATGCTCGATAGCTCAAACCTTCCGTTGTCTGTTTGTTTGGGGATGATGGAGCAGTGGCTGGGCTCAAGTTATATTTACACTGATCAGGCAGGATGTTTGTTTTAACTGGCTGGTTGCTGCTGCTCCACACAAAAAAGAGGCTGAGTTCTGCTTTTCTTTCCCATGGTAGAAATTTGAATCTCTCTTTCCTTTATCCAAGTTCTAATTTCTCAAATTTGTGAGAACTTTTTATCTTTGATGCTTCAGCCCCTCACTCTAACATTCTATATCACACTGATCAAATGCTCAGAAGTTATCAGAGGAAGATTAACAAGAGAAAAAAACCTAAACCCCCTAGCCCCAGCATAATAGGCAAAATTATTTAAAGCACATGGAACATCTTGCAACAGAGTGCAAAAGCGGCATGCTTTTGGATATGCCTAGCACAGAGACAGGGCAAATTCTTCCTTGATATGTAGCCTGAAAAATAATGCTAAGGGATTGAAAATATGATATATAACAGGACAAGGATAGAGGAAACATATTTGCTACAGCAGCCTAAAAATACTGAAGAGGCATGCAGGGAGTGGCAGAGGTGGATGATAGACTTACTTGTCAGGATAAATTTAAGAAGATTGTGAAGATGTATCTAGATTTATTCCATCTGTGTACCACAGTCTTGGAGAGGAGACCTGGGGAATAAATCCAGGATCTGAAAGCCCTGTATGAGTGGAGCCAGAGACCCTTAGAGTGTCACAAGGGATGTGACCATTGTAACTCCCCACTTACATTAATGCTGAGAGACTGAGAACATATTCTGACTAAAATAGCCCCCTGAACCTCTTCACTGCATGATTAATGCTTTATTCACTTCGGAGCATGTAGGAATTTAAAGGCCAGCTCAGAACATTTACCCTGCTATTTATAGTAAGTACAGAGGTGTCTGTGCATCATGGTCTGAATAAAGAATATTAGTATAACCTGGATGGCAAAATATAAAGAAGTAATAAAAAGCACGGAGGAGAGAACTGCAAATCAGACACACAAAGAGAAGTGGGGCCAGCAATGACACAAATACACTGTAAGAGAAGTGTCAAGACAAAACCTGTCAAGACTTCTGAAAAAGCCAGATGAGTAAAGGAGTTAATTGATGGAAAAAATCTATAAATAAGTATTTTGAATAAACAAAAGTTTAAAAAAATAGTCAAGAAGAACAATTTAAGAGGTGAAAACATCAAGAAAGCAGATTATGAAGACAATAATATAGAAGGAGATTGAATTACAAGAGAATTCAGTCATGCTGATGATACATGCAATAAATAAGATTGTGGGTAAATTAACAATAAGAGCTAAAGGGGAGCCGGAAAGACAGAAGGGATATTTTGTGCTAATCCCTGCCATCCACAGAGATCTGGATATCCCAGACATTATGAATGAACAGGGCAGCTTAAAAGAGAGACTACACATGGTCACCACAAAATTTACCACTTATTAGCAGTTTTAGTTATGCAAGTAGAGAAAGACCAGGCTCTGACAGATTAGTATTGGACACTCCGCTAGTTAGGATAATGACCATGGGAGTAGAAATTGTGCAAAGATATACATTTAATGCAAATAAGGATCTTGGGTTTTGTTAATTAAGCAGCAGAGCAGTTTGGGTCATGCTGCATTGTACTATGTTTGGATGAGATGAGGGGGACAGTTTGACAGCTGACCATATGGATATTGTTGTAAAACATTTGAGGTGGGTTGTTGCACCATCAATGACTGTCTCGAAAAAAATACTTAAACATTAGATCCCATTGGTAATGTTACTGTGGAAGTGATGAAAATATACATGGAAAAAAGTAACCAAAATGCTATTGTGAGAAATGGTGATGGACAGCAAACGGCATACCATGGTTTCGAAAAGTGTGGTATTGCTTATGTGCCAAACTCTGAAAAATTAATTGAAATTAAAATGAAAAGCAATGCTGGTCTCTGCAGAGGGCTCATCAGCATTGTCACATTTCTCCCCCTTTGGTCCAGGCCGGGTACAGCACTCCAATCAAATGTGCACACTCATTCTTTGACCTGCCCTGGACTGTGCACTGCCAGCCTCGGTAAGATCTCTCAAGTATTAAAACACTGGTCTATCACAAAAGCTGTGCCTTCTTGCAACTGCTAGGTGGATTTTTGTGGATTCATTCCTATGCCTGAGCAACTTCTTTAGCAGCCAGGTAGGAGAGGGAAGGAGCTGTGGGGACTAGCCCCCTTTCAATAAACAATTTAAAAAAAAAAAAAAAAAAAAAGTTGCTTTGGGTTAAACATATTTTAAAAAACAGGAATACATAAAAAAATAGTGATGGAATGTTTCTATCCTGGCGTCGTATTTTAGCCCCAGCAAAAGCCACGTGCACAAGCAAATGAAACCAAGGAAATAGGGGCTGAGCAAACGGGGGGTGCTCAGGGCACTTAGCACAGCAGAGAACAGGGGCTGAGCAACAGGGGGCTCAGGGCACTTAGCAGGGCAGTGGGCATGGGCAGGGTGCATAGGCAGGGCTCTGAGAACTGCCAGCACGGTCCAGGATAACAGTGTCTACCCTGCAGAGGAAGACCGTGCTCCCGGCACCCACCAAAATGGATGTGGGTACTCAGAGGGTGCCCCCACGGAAGGAGGTGGCTACCCAGGTCACAGACTACCGGGTCATGGGGGACAGCCCTGACCATGGCTGTGTTTGGTGAGGGCAGGTTGATGACCTGCTCTGCTGCGTAGCACAGCTGCAAGATGAAGTGATGGAGTTCAGGGTGAAGCTGAGTAGATTGAGGAGCATTAGGGAGAGTGAGAGGGAATAAGTCTTTTCAAAGCCTGCTCTCCATAAAAACTTCATTAGTGCAGCACAGGATTCCTTACTGTCTCAGTAAGCTTCCCAGCCTTCCCAAGCCAACTCACAGAAGAAAGGACAATGGGCTGAATCAAAAGAAGTGTGGCCAGCAGATTGAGAGAGGTGATTCTGCCCCTCTACTCTGCCCTGGCGAGACCTCACCTAGAACACTGCGTCCGGCTCTGGTGTCCCCAGCACAAGAAAGATGTGGACCTTTTGGAGCGTGTCCAGAGGAGGGTCACAAAGGTGATCTGAGGGCTGGAGCAGCTCTCTTGTGAGGACAGGCTGAGTGAGCTGGGGCTGTTCAGCCTGAAGAAGAGAAGGCTCCTAGGGGACCTCATAGTGGCCTTCCAGTACCTGAAGGGGCCTACAGGAAAGCTGGGGAAGGACTTTTTACAGGGGCTTGCAGTGACAGGACAAGGGGTAGTAATTTTAAACTAAAGAAGAGAGACTTAGGTTAGAGATCAGAAGAAAAATCTTCAGTGTAAGCGAGGCCAACTCACCCTTGACCATCACAACTCAGTGCAGAGAGAAAAACAGATGGTCGTTGTTGTGGGTGACTCCCTCCTGAGGGGTGCAGTGCCCAGCGTGCAGACCAGACGAACGCCACAGGGAAGCCTGCTGCCTCCCTGGGGCCCGGATGAAGGGTGTCATCAATAATAACCCTCCCACCCTGCTGAGGCCTTCAGATTACTCGGGCAGACCCTCGGTGCCGGTGCGGCGCGTGCCTTGGCCACGCAAGGTTTCTGCCTGTGGGCAGGCCCTCTGCCGTGACGGGCCACCCGAGCCCTGCTGCATCCAGGTGCTGCTGAGGGACGAGGCCTGGCCCGGCTGCGCTTCGGCCCCCAGAGCC